GAAAAAAAAATGCAGAAATCCATATTACGTTCATTACATCATAGAAGAAACAGGAATCTGTCTGATATAATAAAAGCACAGTTAGTGCTTCCTTGGCATCATTTCATCTTTACGGAAGAAGACCTATCCTAAATGCTAGTTAGTGTAAACACTGTAGGTCATTAAAATTAAATTCAAAGATGAAAAACTGATATCCTGAGAAGTGAGGATCTTGCCATGGCGAAGCCAGGACTAGAAGCCATGTCTGACGTCCCATGACTCTCTCAGTGGATGTCCGTGCTCTCTCCACTACACCCGGTGGCCTTCTCTAAAAATACAGAAGAGAAATGATATTCTGTTCTCCAAGAAATAGAAGGCCCAAGGAAAACAGAGACTGACATGAACTGATCAGAATTTGAATGAGAATCCACTTGCCACGCCATTGAAGACCTATTTTCTCTTTTTACCTTCTACCTCCCAAAGATCCCCAAGCATGTGGGATTGGTAGTTGAGCAGTCTTCTAAGATATCATCCCTAACGTCCCCATGCATATTCTCCTGATGCCTCTCTGCTCACTCTGGGTCATTAGAGCCATTAATTCCAACCCCCGAGCCACCATCTTGTAAGTGGGAGCAGTAAGCTTACCGGTGGCCTAACCAAGTTCATTCGGCATCGCCTCTCCCACAAAGTTCAACATGTTCGCGGAAACATGAAAATAATCTTCTCGCTTTTCCTCGGTCTTCCAAATGTAATACTTGTGAGTTTGGTCAAAGAGTCAGGAAAGATAGTTGGAACCAGAAAACAAAATAGTATCAATTACTAATATTCCCCATTCTCTGCTAAGGCTGCCTTATCTGAAGCTTGTAAAGTTGTTTAATCTTTTCCATCATCTCAGGGAAAAGAGAGCCTGGAAAGTCCTAGTCATTCCACAGTAACTATCAGTGGGATTTTCCATAACAATCTGGATGCAAAATAAAAATCTTAAGAAGTTGATCCAATTCTAAAACTTACTTCTCAACTTACTAATAAATATGAAGAGACAACCCATCCATATTTTCTTCAAATAACATCTGGTTCCTTGGCCAGACCGTTAATACCTGAAAAAGCTTCTGAGTCTGTGCCAGCAAATCTACATTTAAAGAGCTTAAAAATGCACTTATGCGCTAAACATTCTTTTCTACCTCTGACTTAGGGCCAGAGAGATGGGACTGGAGGCAGAACCTTGCCAAGAAACCGGGAAGGAGGGGAATAAAACTGCCTTCGCAAATCTGAGCTGTGAAATCAACACTTGATGGGTCAGGACAAAGAAATGAGAAATCACCACATGGGGACAAAAAGCCGTCTAGGCCAGCAAAATTTGGCCGTCACCCTGCTAAAGACCTAATGCTCACATATAAAGACCATAGTAATTGATCGCGGACTCCTAGATGAAGAAGGGTTGCTAAGAGCCGGAACAGGACTCACGGCGCCTCCAGGCAGAGTGGAGGGAGTCTGGACCAGCAGGGCTGGGGGAGCACAGATGGGGAGCACAGGACCAGTGACAAGGCATCTGTCTGGGGAAAATGAGCGCATCACTGCCTCTCAGCCCCGTTCCCCTGGGCTGGCCTGTCTTACTCACGATGGAAAGCTCAGCACTGAGCATGCAGCCTGGCCTCGAGCAAGCAAGCATTAGAGTCAGTGATTTTGCTCCAACTCTTTGCTCACAACCTCCTGATTATAATTCGGCTCCCCACGTGGTTCTGCTGACAGGGAGAGAATGATCTAGTCTTGTGGACCTGGGAATCCGGGCCTCCGTGCCAGCCACGGCGCCCACTGAAACAGGCTTGCTCGCTGCTGAGCCTGCTGCCCCGCAGGCAGCTCCGGGGGGAAGGGCCCTCGAGTGCCCTGCTGGACCACGTTTCTGGGCCCACAGGCTGGCAGCGAGGCTCGGGGCCGTGGGAAATGCACCAGGATGGTGACCATGGTGGTGGCCACGGTGGCCACGGCAGCTGGGTACTGAGCACGTTCTCGGTGTCAGACACGCACCCCATGCTGTCCGCACTCAGACTCTGCCAGTCCCCACCACAATCCAGTACATTAGATGCTATTATATACTCGTTTTGTACACAGGGAAACTGAGGCTCAGAAAGCTGTAGCCCTTTTCCCAAAGGCCCACACTAGGATTCTGTGCTCAGACCCAGATTTGTCCAACTCTAACCCGTGATCTCTTACGTTGCGAAGACCTGACCTCTGGGGGGATCGACCCTTACCTTCCTCCTGGCTACGCTCCTCGGCTTCGGCAGGGCGCTCTGGGGCATTCCAGCCCGTGTGCCGCACGATTGTTCAATACACCACGACTGCGCCAGCCTTCGCGTCGCAGCACGAAAACGTTAGCAATGTGTCATTGATCGGGAGTGCACGAAGCCAGGACACACGGGTGGCTCAGTGGGTGATTGTCTGCCTCCGGCTCAGGGGGTGATCCCGGGGTCCCCACAGGGACCCTGCTTATCCTTCGGCCTGTGTTTCTGCCTCTCTGTGTGTGTCTCTCATGAATAAATAAATAAAATATCTAAAAAAAAATAAGTTAGGGGGACACCTTGGTGGCTCAGCGATTGAGCATCTGCCTTTGGCTCAGGAGGTGATCCCAGGGTCCTGGGATCGAGTCCCGCATCCGGCTCCCCGCAGGGAGCCTGCTTCTCCCTCTGCCTGCGTCTCTGCCTCTCTCTGTGTTTCTCATGAATAAATAAATAAAATCTTTAAAAATAAATATATAAAAATAAATACATACATACATACATAAAAAAGAAGTGCACAAAGCCAACCCTACCTCAGTGAACAGTGTCACCATCTCTATCATGCCATCAGAAGCCAAAAATGAGGGCCTCCCCTTGACTCTTCCCTCCTCTCACCTCCACTGTCAATAAACCTCTTCAACACTTCCCTTCCAGGTCCGCTTCTCACCATCACCATGGCCACTCCCCACCCTTCCTCTAGACCTTGCTCAAGTGTCCCAGATCACGTGTTCCCTTCCCCTCTTGCTCTCCTTTATTCGCAACCGTGCACCCACTGCCCGTTCCACAGCCCAATCATGACCTTCCAACTGCAGGGAAATCCTTCAGCAGATGCCAACCTTTGCACGTACGTCCTCTGTGCTGTAGCCCTAACAGTGGCTGGTCTGCAGTGCTTGGAATACACCCTACCCTGTCTGCTCCAGGATGTCCTGGAACAGACCTGCGCACACCCCCGCAGTCGTCCCCCCCCCCCCCCCCCCCCGCAGCCGGCTTCCTCCCCTGGTCACTGGTGCAAGGCTTTGGGTCTCACCCACGTTTCAGCTCCTCCAAGAAGCCTGGGTTACCTGCCCATCTGAAGTGCTCCTCACACTCAGCACACCCTTCATCTCACTGGGTGAGAATTCTCCTTCGTGTGACTCCACCCACAGACCCCTACCTCCCTGAGGCCCAGGACCCACTCTATTTGTACAAAGCGCCTGCCATGAAAAAAATGCGTGATGAATGAATGCATGAGAGCATGGTAATAGCACAGGTGTCAGATGCCACCTGGCTTCCTCACGTCCGGGCTGTGTGGCCTGGAAAAAAGTGCTGAATCTCCCCGGACCTCAGACTCCCTGTCTCTAACAGAGATCCTAAAATGTCCCCTGTCACACTGTTGTGAGGCTTCCCTGTAATATGCAGAAAGTCCTCAGCACTAGGCCCAGGGTATCCTAAGTGCTCAAGCACGGGTTGTTGTTTGCTATTGTTACTATGTCCTTTGAGGCCCCGGAGATCCTCCCAGGCCCCCACGATGACTTGGCTGCTCCAGCTCCCGCTCCTCAGCGCTCGAGGTTTACCTTTCCAAACGCATGAGCGTCCATCCTCTAATACACTGCACTGAAAGGTTCTGTCCCTCCAGCACTTTCTGCAAGACGCCTAACACTTCAACAAAAGCTTTAGGTGACATGACATGGAGATCTGCCCCTGATCTTACAGCTCACCCGAGCCTTAAACCCTGGACATCACCCAAATGCCACACAGAGAGGCCAGCGTAACCCCCAGAGGAGCACACGCAGGGATTTCCACAGGAAAGCCAGTGGAATTGACAGGTGGTGACCCCAAAATAGAAATCAGGCCTCAGAAAGAGGACTCCCCCGGTCACAGCAGCTGTGGAAAGGTCAATCATGGGACAAGTGGTTGTGAAAACCGGCGGAGCTCCCCAACGCCTAAGAGAGGGCGTATAGAAGAGGGTAATTTTTTGGATCACAGTACGGCCAGCTCGCTTGGAAAGCTTTAAGGGAGCAAACCGCAATTCCAACGGTGGTAACGGGGTGAGGGGTTTGTGAGCGGTATTCTCCGTGGCTCCCCACACCTTCCGCGGTGCGGTCCTATTCTTTTAACCCGCACCAGTAATTCTTAAAATATACCCGTGCTGCGTGCCTCGGTCGCGACGGCTCCTGACCGGAGGGGCCCTGGGGGCGCGCCCAGGCTGCGGGGCTCCAGGAGCGGGGCCCACGCCGCAGCCCGGGGCGGGCGGACCCGGCGGAGCGGGCGGACCCCGTGTGCGATCCCGCCGCCGCCCCGCCCTGCCGCCCCCAGCGCCCCGGCCCCGCCCCGGCCCCGCCCGACCCCGGCCCCGACCCGCGGGCCCCGCCACCCTCCCCGCCACGCCCCGCCTCCCACACCGGGGAGGCGCCGCCAGCGGCCCCGCCACCTCGGCCCCCTGGACCTCGGCCCCCCGAGACCTTGGGCTCCCCCCCGTGACCTCGCCCCCCGCGACCTAGGGCTCCCCCCCCCCGCGACCTCGGCCCCCCGCGACCTCGGCCCCCGGACCTCGGGCCCCCCCCGCGACCTAGGGCTCCACCCCCGTGACCTCGCCCCCCCGCCACGACCTCGGGCCCCCCCGCGACCTAGAGCTCCCCCCCGTGACCTCGCCCGCCCCCGCGACCTAGAGCTCCCCCCCCCGTGACCTCGCCCGCCCCCGCGACCTAGAGCTCCCCCCCCGTGACCTCGCCCCCCCCCCGCGACCTCGGCCCCCCGCGGCCCGCGCACCTCTTGCAGGGGATCAGCGCCTTCCGCTCGTCCAGCACCCGCACGCGCCGGTTGAGGCCGTCGTAGGACAGCAGGGCGCGGCTGTTGCGGCCGCTGCTCTGCCGGAACACGACCTGGCGGCCCTCCCACTGCTGCGGCGCCCGGCACGGCCGCGGGGTCCCCGGGGCGCCGAGGCCGCCCAGCGCGCAGACCCAGACGCCGGCCAGCAGCCAGGCGCGCAGGGCCCCCCGGGCCGCGCCGAGCCGAGCGCGCCCCGCCATCGCCCGCAGCGCCCGCCGCCCCCCGGGCCCCGCGACCCGGGCCGAGTGCGGTGACCCGCGGTGACCCCCCCTCCCCCGGCCGCGGTCGCCACGGCGGTTGGGCCCCGCGCGCGCGAGGTGCGGGAGCCTCGGCCCGGGCCTGGGAGGGCGCGGCCACCGGCGGGAGCTGCCGCTGCAGGGCCGCTGCCCGCTGCGCCTGGTTTTCGCTTGCTCTCTGCTGCCAACAGGAAATGCAGTGGCAGTGGTGCCACTAGCATCCTGAAGGGCACCGCGTCTTCAAGGGGGGCGGGGTGCGGAGCAGGATGGGGAGAAGGAGCAGGGACTGACCGAAGCGTGCGGCAGGTCACCACCTACCAGGAGGCAGTCGGGTTCAGGTCGGGAAGGCAGTGCTCCCGCTTGCCGGGCCCCGCAGAGCTGGCGCCCCCCTGCCAACACTGACACCTTCTTCCCCCAGAGTAGAAGGAAAGGGTCTTGGTCATCCACCATGGCCATGTCCAAGCCCCTGCTCTTCCAACCAGAGGATTAGCCCTTTTGTCCTTGGGTGGAGGACCCAGGGACAGAGCCCTGAGGCCACACTTGCAGTGACACTTCCACCCTCATCCATCACCTGACAACACCACAACTCCAGGCGCGTGTGAGTCTAGGAGTTTAGCATCAAGAACAAAGTTTATTGGGTTTATGGTTTATGTTTCATAATATTAGGATGTACCATATGGAATATTTCATAATATTAGGATGTACCATACGGAATAAAAAAAAAAGCAACTTTAAAAAAAAGACTTGGGCAGCCCCGGTGGCGCAGCGATTTAGCGCCGCCTGCAGCTCGGGGTGTGATCCTGGAGACCCGGGATCGAGTCCCACGTCCGGCTCCCTGCATGGAGCCTGCTTCTCCCTCTGCCTGCTTCTCCTTCTGCCTGTGTCTCTGCCTGCGTCTCTATGAAACAATAAATAAAATCTAAAAAAATAAATAAATAAAAAATAAAAAAAAGACTTGCTTTCCAAATTTATGGTATCTTTACAGTTGATCTGTGTTTCAAGAATGAGGACGTGAACCAGATGAAAGCAGGAGGGAACATTCCCACATAAAGGACATGGGGACAAGGGAAAATGGGTGTAGTGCTGGGGTTTAAGGAGAGTAATTTTGAGCCCCATCAAGCAGGGCTTGAAAACCAGGGAGGGGCACCACGAGGCAGAAGCCTTAGGAAGCTCCCTGAGGTGTGAGTGCAGAGACTGGGCAGGGAGCAGGAGGAGGAAGATGCCGTTATAATCCAGGTAACAGACACTGGAATCTGAACTGAGGTGGCGGCGGCTGGCGACGGTGGATCAGAAACGGCGCTGTGGAGCAGAACTTTCTGGTTTGGGCCACTGGGAGTTCAATCCTGAATGAGCAAAGAAGACAAGTCGGTTTAGGATTGGTTGACTTTGGGACAGCCCAGGTGGCTCAGCGGTTTAGTGCTTCCTTCAGCCCAGGGCGTGATCCTGGAGACCCGGGATCGAGTCCCACCTTGGGCTCCCTGCATGGAGCCTGCTTCTCTCTCTGCCTCTCTCTCTCTCTCTCTCTCTCTCTCTCTCTCTCTCTCTCGTGCTCTCATGAATAAATAAATAAAATCTTTTTAAAAAAAAAAAAAGACTGGTTGACTTTGGGGCTCCTGGGTGGCTCAGTCGTTGAGCGTCTGCCTTTGGCTCAGGGAGTGATCCTGGGGTCCTGGGATGGAGTCCTGCATCGGGGTCCCCACAGGCAGTCTGCTTCTCCCTATATCTCTGCCCCTGTGTCTCTCATGTAAATAAATAAAATCTTAAAAAAAAAAAAAAGGATTGGTTGATTTTGACATACCTGTGGGTTATGCAGGTAGAAATACCCCAGGGACAGTTGGATGAGCATTTCCACAAACCAACAGGGCTAGAGGGCTGGTTTCAGAAGCCATCGACATCTGGGTGGTAATTGAAGCCAAAGAGGGGAACGTCAGGGGAGACAGTTACTTGGAGACATTTTTGATTGTCATAACAGGGTAGGGGCAGCCTCTACTGGCATCTAGTAGGAGGAGGCCAGAGAGGCTACTAAACTTTCCAGAATGCACAGAACCCAATAAAGAATATTCTGGCCCCAGGGTCAGAAGCACTAAGGTTGAGAAACTTGGAGAGGCAGGGTGCGTGGAGAGTGAGAAGAGGACTGGCCTTGGAACCCAAGCAGAGAAGCAGGCCTCTACACAGGAACCTCCAGAGAGAAGCCACTGACCAGAGTAACTTCCTCAGCTACGTAGGCTATTGGCAAATCAACGTCAAGTACAGGGTAATGGATTAGTGCTAAGACAGGGCCTGAAGGAGGAGGCCGTGGACAGAGTCTCCCACCCCAAGTAGAACCACTACAGACAGGCAGCCAGTGGACCCCCCCGGGGAAGCCAGAGAACTTTATAGAGAAGGCCTCTTACCTTCTCCGCACCTTTTCTTCAAGGAAACGCCCCGGGGAACATCGGGGTGATGCCCGCCGTGCTGTGACTTGGCACTAGCTGTGAACAGATGCTGCGCCAGAGAGAGCCCTTTCCAAGGCTGCCTCTTTGACCAACTCACAGGAGCCAGAGTTCAGCTGTCTCTCAAAACTGCATTTCCTGCCCCTGTAGGAGCTGCGGCTACAAATATTTCCCCCTAAGCCAGGGGGTTTCGACTCACTGGATCTGACTGCTGGAAATGGCTGAAGATGTCCTCTGGGTTATCCCCATTGCTTGAGAGTTCACTGGCCCGACTTGCCATCCTGGGAGCTTGAGACCTACCTGAAACTGGAACTATCGCTCCAGGTTGGCGCGGCTGTGTTTGGACTCTCTGGGCTTCCCCTGAATAGAACCCGACTCCTTGGATGAATCCTGAAATGTATTTGTGTCATTTGTCCTCTCAACTTACCATGTTTAATTTGTGTTCCCTTAAAAAAATAAAAAATAACAAATAATTTTTTTTAAAAAAAGTCTTACATTTAAAGAGCTTAACACCACGCCCAGCCTATTGTAAATGCTCAATAAAATGCCAGCTGTATTTTTTTGTTGCTGGGCTATTATAATTCTTAGTCCTGGACAGAGTCAAAACTAAACTAATATTGTGGGTCTAAGCTTTGGAGACAAAAAAAAACCAAAAACCAAAACAAAAACAAAAAACAAAAAACAGCTATCTGCCATATGTTCAGATTTTTAATTGAACTATGGTTGTTTAGCTTTTTTAAGATTTTATTTGTTTATTTGAGAGAGAGAGAGCACAAGCAGGGGGAGCAGCAGAGGGAGAAGCAGACTACCTCCTGAGGGGGGAGCCGCACGTGGGGCAGGATCCCAGGACCCTGAGACCCTGACTTGAGCCAAAGGCCACCACTTCACTGATTCAGCCGCCCAGATGCCCCTGAACTATGTTTTTATTTTTATTTTTTTCTAAGTTTTTTTTTTATTTAAATTCAACTCGCCCACATATAGTATAACACCCAGTGCTGAACCGATGTTTTTAAAGATTAACATTCAGAGACCACATTTTCATATCCTAATGCCCTAAGAGAATATCATATACCAGAAACCTTACTGCCAGAAGATTGATGTACATTTGCAACAACAAAGTCTCCCTTTTCTGTGAGACCTGAGCCAGCAGTTGGTTTTACTACCTCTTCCTAATAAAAATAAACGAAAAAGAAAAGAAAACAAAACAAAACAAAAAAAAAAAAACAAAACATAAAAATAAGCTGGAAGAAGAAACAAAACGTACCATGCTTTCCAGGGTACGCGGCTTCTTACTCAATGTAAGTAGTTTCAAGCACATCAAAACCTCAAGATTTTTAGCCTCGCTGGGCTGGAAATCGCTTGGCAATGAAGTGGGGGGCGGGGAGGGGGGGATCTTTCAGGCTTTGGTGTCCGGTCCTGTTTTCTCCTGGGTTTCCGTTCACGGTGGATTGAGGAACAGAGGGTGAGAAGAAGGAAGGGGAATGTCGACGGACGGAAAACATTCCTAAACCAGAAGATGCTATTATTGCACCTTGGGGCTGCTGGGCTCCCGGAGCACGGTACAGACCAAATGCCTTTCTGGAAAAACCTGAGCCCAAGCTCACGGCTTGGAACAAAACCCAAGTGCGCACAACCGAGGGGGGTTGACGACGTGTGGAGACGACGTGTCCCTCCGGGTCCCCCCCGCCCCCCCCCCCCGCGACGGGCGCGCTGCAGGCGAGCGAGCCCCGGGAGGAGGGGCCGCGGAAGGTCGCCCCCGCTGCAACCCGGAGCCCCGGGCACCTCTAGGGCAGGGGCCGCGGAGTTCAGCTTTGACCCAAACAGCGCCTGCCCCGTCCTGAGATCCTCTCCTTGCCCCCTCTTGGATCCGGGGTCCCAAACGACTGCCAGGGACTCTTTCTCCTGGTGCGAAGGACAAGGACTGGCCCGACTAACAAGGAGGGACTTTGGGGAAACGCAGGCTCGCAGCCCTGGGCCGCGGCCCGGAGGGGATGATGTCAGCGCTCGGGGCGCGGCGCGGGCGGGGGAGGGGCGCGGGGGGAGGGGGAGGGGAGGGGGAGGGGCGCGCCCCCGCCGCCGCCGCCGCCGCCGCCGCCGCCGCGGGAGCCTCCGGGGCCCACGTCAGGGGACGCGTCGGGATAAATAGGGTCCCGCAATGGCCGAGGCCGGCTGCGCTCGGAGCTGCCGCGTCGGGGACCGGAGCTGCCCGGGCGGCTGGGCGCCCCGCAGGCTGAGCGCCCGCGCCCTCGCGCTCCGAGACCCCCGGCCGGGCCCCGCGGGCGCACGGCGTGTCCGCGGCGCCGGGCGACGGCCGCCCCCGGGGCAGGGAGGACGGACCGACGGCTAGCGGGGCGGGCGGCCGGGCCGGGGCCATGCAGCTCGCGGTGCTGGCGGCGCTGTGCTGCCTGGGGCTGCGCCTGGCGCTCGGCGTGCGCGGCGCGCCCTGCGAGGCGGTGCGCATCCCCATGTGCCGGCACATGCCCTGGAACATCACGCGGATGCCCAACCACCTGCACCACAGCACGCAGGAGA